TCTCTCGTACGTGGAGGTAGCGACCTTCTCACAGGGCATCCTCGCGGACATGAACTCTACGGGTCTATAGCCATTGTCGTCGTCTTGCTGCAACATGGCGCCTATCCCATACTGACTCGTGTTCGTGGTGACGACAAATGGCAAAGACGGATCTGCAACTTTGAGGACAGGATATTCTATTAACGCGCGCTTTAGCTTCTTGAGCGCAGACGTACAGTCTTTGTCTCATTGCCAGATTGCCTCTTTCTTCAGCAATCTGCGCAAGGGAGCGGTGATAGTAGAGAAGTTCCTTACGAACTTCGTACAGTAGTTAGCTAAGCCTAGGAACGACCGCAACTCTGTCAATGTGCGGGGCGTAGGCCAATCTCTGATCGCCTTGATCTTGCTGTCCTCTGGCTTAATGCCATCTCCGCCCAACACGTGGCCCAAGTACAAGACTGGCGTCTTGGCCCACTCACACTTCTTCGCGTTGATCTTGAAGTTAGCCTCTCTAAGCTTCTCCAAGACCTGCCTCAGATGACCCTGGTGCTCCTGGAGGGTCTTACTAAAGACTAGGATATCATCTAAGTAGACTACTACAAATTTATCTAACCATGGTCTAACCAGGTTATTCATACAACGCTGAAAAGTAGCTGGCGCGTTGGTTAGTCCAAAGGGCATCACTATAAACTCATAATGCCCATATCTAGTCTGGAACGCAGTCTTGTACTGATCATCATGATGAACCTCTATTTGATGGTATCCAGACTTTAAGTCTATCTTAGAGAAATACTTGCAACCCTTCACCCGATCTAAAAGATCGTTTATCCTGGGCAGCGGCTCAGCATTCTTTACGGTGATCGCATTTAATCCCCTATAGTCTATACACATTCTCAGCTCTCCTTCCTTCTTGGGGACAAACAAAACGGGTGCTCCAAAAGGAGACGAACTGGGCCCGATCCACCCTTTCTCAAGGAGATTGTCTAACTGCTTGCGAAGCTCCTCTAACTCTCTAGGGGACATCCTGTAGACTGCACCCTTAGGTGTTCTACTGCCAGGCTCTATCTCTATCCTATGCTGGATGGATCGCGACACTACTCCTGTCGGCGGCTCAGTCAAATCTCTGAACTCCTCCAGCAGCTTGGCAATTGTTGGGTCTGTGGAGCTATCCTTCTTCTGGCCCTCAGTAACAGGTCTTACATACACCACAAAGACCTGTTCCTCTAACTACTCCTTTCTTACTAATCGCGCGAACGAGGAAGCACTGAGACAGCAATGCGCCAAGGTGTTATCTACACCGGACGCATGGAACAGGCGAGCAGTCTTCACTTCGCCTGACGGACTAGGGAACCTACACTCATGCTCTCTCAGATGGAGTGTGGCCCSCGCTGCCTCTCCCCAATCCATTCCTAACACTACATCGAAAGGAAGGTCATCTTGTACGAGGAGAGTCAGGGAATGAAGAACTTTCTCCACCTTCCCATCCTTCTCTAGGCGACAGTACGCCTGGACTCCCTCTACATAGTCCTCAACGCGCATTGTGCGGTTGTCTGCGAAAACACTGACTATAGGGTCTATTAAGCCGCAGCTTCTTCAGCGCCCTTCGGCTGATATAACTACGGGTAGCCCCTGAGTCTATAAGGGCCCCTACCCTACTCCTAAATACCTCTACATCTACCAAAATCAGTTGTCCTTTACTCTCCTTCTTCATTTTGGCCCAGGCTTGCATCCTCTCCTTTAATTCTTCTGCCACACCTGTGAGGGACGTGCCTAAAGAGACGCTTACACAGGCGGTCTCTGGACAGCTATCTAGGCACGGGCCTGCAACCTCTGCCATAGGCTCATGTGGGTTGCGACCCCTACGGGCGGCTGCCTTTTGACTGTTGGGCAGCCTAACGGGCCTGTCTATACTTTGGACAAAATTTGATAACGTGGGCCGGGTCACCACAGAATACGCACTGACCCATGTTCACGCGTTCCTGCCACAATTGTCTGTCCAAGCGCA